CTCGTCCCGGCCGGTAACCCCGTGACGAAGTCCATCGTCACCTGCTGCCAAGCACGCTCTGGGGGTGGTATCGGCTGCAACTGTCCTGCCGGCCGCTTCCGCGATGACTTCATGAGCTGGCAAGTGGGACACGATGCCACGTGTCGTTGTACGTCGGTCAACATCTCGGGCCAATAATAATACCGCTGCAGCTGCTGCCATGTTTTCTCTACCCCAAAATGCCCAAAGGTAACTCCGTCGTGTGCCTCCTGTAATAGTAACTCCCGTAGCAGTGTGTACCCTGGTACCCAGATGCGGTCGGTCTCGGCTTTTACGTAATAGACTCCCTTTGCTGCTGCGAACTGCTGCGAATGTCCTCCTGTGAAGAATGGATCCGTTTGGTACCCGTGGGTGAATAGGCCTGTCAGTATGGGCTTGTCTGGGCGAGTAGTATTGCATGGATCTGGGCAGTGGGGCGGGTCAGTGCGTCGGCGATGTTCGAGGCCCCTTTTTTGTAGGTGACCGTGTACTGAAAATTGGACTCGAGAAAGTCCAGCCAGCGAATCTGTCGTGGGTTGAGGTGTGGCTGTGCGCGGAGGTACTGTAGTGATTTATGGTCTGTCCGTACTGTCACGTCTGCGCCGGTCAAGTAACAGCGCCATACTTTGAACGCGTGCACGATCGCGAGCATTTCGCGGTCGTGTATCGGGTAATTTTTCTCGGGCGGATGCAGTTTTCGTGACTCGTATGCGATGGGTTGTAGGCCATTGCCGAAGTCCTATAGCAGTACTGCTCCGATGGCGATGTCGCTTGCGTCGGTAACTACTTCGAATGGGCGTTGTGGGTCGGCGATGCGCAGGACGGGCGGTGAACAGAGAACATTTCTCAGGGCAGAGAAGGCAGCATGCTCTTTCTCCCCCCACGTAAAAGCGACCCCCTTCCGTAACAAGTCCGTCAGCGGTGCAGTTAACCGTGCCATGTCGGGGACGAACCGACGCACGTAATTGACGAATCCCAAAAAGCTCTGTAGTTCCGTGATGTTCGTCGGGGGGTGCCAGGCTTTGACCGTTTCTAACTTCTTCGGGTCAATTTCAACCCCAGCCTCCGAAATGACGTGCCCCAAAAACTCTAGCCGGTCCTGAAAAAACTCGCACTTGGAACCCTTGGTCAGTAGTCGATGCTTGTCTAAATCTTAAACACTGCTTCCAGATCGGCTAAGTGCTGCGGCCTGTCGCGACTGTAGACGAGGATGTCGTCGAGGTAGACTATCACGCATTTATCTAAAAGTGGCCTAAACGCCTCGTTCATGGTCATCTGAAATGTCGCTTGTGCGTTGGTCAGCCCGAAGGGCATCACTGTAAACTCGAATGACCCGTATCTAGTCCGGAAAGCTGTTTTGGCGCAGTCCGATGGTTCGACCCTAATCTGATGGTAACCCCGTCGTAAGTCGATTTTCGAAAACACCCGTGCTGTTCGTGTCAGAATCCCAACCACTAGACCATTGGGATAAAAGGGCTTGTTAAGTAGCGGGTCAGTGCGCCCATAACCCCCCAGGACAACGAGCCTGTAACCCTTCCCTAGGATCAATCGGGGATCACCAGTGGACCTCTGACACCCCCCCGCACTGGGATGCCCGAAGTGCACACACTGGGATTCGAACCCGAGACCTTCGCTCTGATAGCATGTCAGAATCCCAACCACTAGACCATTGGGATAAAAGGGCTTGTTAAGTAGCGGGTCAGTGCGCCCATAACCCCCCAGGACAACGAGCCTGTAACCCTTCCCTAGGATCAATCGGGGATCACCAGTGGACCTCTGACAGTTCGCAGTTGGTCGATCAGTTCGTCGGCGCGGGGAATGGGGTACCGCGACTTGACTGTTACCCTGTTCAGCGCTCGGTAATCGATGCACATGCGAAACCCGCCGTCTTTCTTTGGCGTGAACAGTATCGGTGCGGCGAACGGTGATGAGCTCGGTCGGATGAATTTCTTCTCTAACAAGTAATCTAACTGCTTCCTCAGTTCGTCGAGCTCGGGTTGTGTCAGTCTGAACTGGCGCTGTACAGTCGGCTGTGCCCCCGGTTCTAATTCTATTTGGTGGTCATGTGCTCGCTGAGGTGGCAGTCCTTCCGGTAAGTCGTCGGGGAAAATCCCGGGGTATCGTTTCAACAATTCCTGTAGTTCGGGCGGTACTGCTGCCAGCAGTTTCTTGAAATCACTCGGCTGCACTGCTCCCTCTACCACCGAAACGTCTACTGCGTGCACGTCAGCTCCAGCAGCAACAGCCCGTTTCATGGTGACGGCGTTGACGTGTACCGTTGAAGACTCGGGCGACTGCCAACGAGGTAGCTCAACCCAGTTACCGCTACTTCGCACAGTGCAGCTACCCGTCGTCCAGTCAATTCGCGGGTTATACCGTCGCAACCAATCACGTCCCAGTAAAATGTCGTGCCCATCGAGTGTCGTCGCGAGCATTTCCTGTGTAAATCCGAAATTTCCCCCGCAGCGGACTTTGACTCTCTCCACCCTTTCCCGTATGGCCAGTGGCGTGCCGTCAACTAAGCGTGCGTCGATCTCAGGTAAACAACGGCTAAGTGTCAGTTGCAGTTTTCGTGCGGTTGCGGTATTAACTAAACTGTGACTTGCTCCTCCGTCGATAAAAATCTTCACTGCTGCTCCCTGTATTTTCCCGTGGATCAGTACTGGGCAATCCGTCGCTGTACCCTCCTTATTCGTCCGAGCCCGATCGATAGCATGAATCGGTACTGTGACTCGGTGAGGGTCGGTGGGGTTGGGCGAGCAGGCAGTCTCGTCAGTAGTTGGCCCGATTCCTACTGACTGCTGGCGTTTCCCTGCCTTGGAGACTCCCTCCCCTGCTCTGCTCCGCGGCGCCTCAGCTCCTCTGGGCATTCACTCTTGCGATGGCCCGGCCTATTGCAAGCAAAGCAGCGCCCCTTAAACGGTGCGGCAGCTGCATTCGTCGCAACGGCGTGTACGGTGGCGTGCTCGATCGGTCCCCGAGGACGATGTCCGTAGTAGGACCCCGGTCTCGGACGGTGCAAAATGTCGATTTTCTCGGCGAGCGCGAGAATCTCGTTGAAGTTCGAGAGCCCGCGTAGCATGATCTCGTGCGAGATGTCCGGCTTCAGCCCTCCGACGTAACGGTCCACCCGCTCCGCCTCGTGCATGTAGCCGACTTGCTCGCATAATGCGAGAAAACCACTCGTGTAGTCTTGAACCGACCCGAGCTGCCGCCAAGTACGCAGTCTCTGACGCGCCGAAATAGAAGCCGCGATCGGCTCGAAGCGCGCCCGAAGCCCTGCGCACCACGCATCCCACGTGCTGTATTGGGCGGTTTCGCAGAATGAACTCCAAGTGACAGCTGGGCCCGTGGGCCCTTCCTCTTGCAACGGTGGCTCGTAGGCACGTGGCGACGTCACGATGACTCGCCACCAGTCCATGGCGGGGCCCCTCAGCAGCGAGACTGCATATCGGATCTTCGCTGCGTCCGACTCGACGTAATTCGCGTCGAAGAAGACGTTCATCGTGAAGACCCACGATTGAACCGTCGGACCTCCACGCTGGCTCGGGTCGAAGCAGGGCGGGCGTTGCGGCTTGAGTGGCATTGGTGCCATAATGGCCTGCTCGCCACTTGTCGCCGCGAACTACACGTGCCGACGGGCTTCACGAGGCTCCCGCGGGCTTGGTGCGACCCTGTTTCCTCCCATGCCAGGCATCGGCTGGGCGGCGCCATCACTGGCTGCACCTGAGCGCTGTCCCACGCTCTCATGTTGTGTTGGTGTGCCGGACGAAATGACGATCGGCTCGTCCGATTGTGCAGATGCATTTGTCGGTGCGTGTGGTGGCGCTGGAGTATTCACCGTGGATTGCTGACGCGCGGAGTCACGTTCCGCCGTGAGCGTCGCAATTTCGAGCGCCGATTCTTCAACTTGGCGCACCAGACAGTTAAGCTGCTCCTGCGTCAACGTCGCGAGCGTGAATTCGGCCATGGCGGGGGTGTCGGGCAAGCTCAGCAAGAGCCTCTGTCGTGGCCGTGCGTGCTTACGAGAGAGCACTACGAGCGGCGGTGCTGTGTCGCTGAGAGACGTCCACCCCCCCCCCAAAAATTGAGATTGTGAGGAAGCGAAGGTGTGGGTGCGGTCCGAGAAGAGATCGTAGGCTCTGATACCAAGTGTAACGAGTGCAATTGAATGAGCGAGCGAGAATTGCACTATCGAAGCAAGATTACAATGAGCGAAGGCATGAGCGAAGAATATATAGCGAAACTATAGTGGTAACGGTAATGCGTGGAAAATGGGGTGCGCGACGGGCCTGGCGCCGAGGTTGGGATTTGTCGCGGCGGAGGTCCGGAGCGCGGGTTACCAACCGAACCGTTAGGTTGGGTCGCGTCGTGAACAGTGGCGGGAATAGTATCGAAGCGAGTGTCGCGAGTGGTAACGGATTACTGTTGGGTGCTGTTGGCGGGAACAGTGGTGTACGCGCTGAGCAGGGACGCGAAGTAAGGAAAAAGGAATTTTCCTTAGAGACTGCAATTAGCGAAGCAAGGCAGCGCGAACGAGCTAGGCGAAAACCAAGGGGCAAAGTCTGGCTCGGAAGTGTGGGGAGGGTTACGGGGCGACTCGTGAGTGGTTTGGCCCGACAAGTCAGGCCGAACCAGCTCAGGCGAGCAGTTCGGGGTTACTACTTTTCAGCGCACAGAACTGCGCGCGAAGCTGAATTTAACCAAGTGCACCGAAGTGCACCGAAGCAAGATCCCAAGGCACAGTTTTTCGGCCTTGATCTCTCCGCAGCGCACGCAGCGTGCTGCCCTGCTGTCTCCTCCACTCCCTCCCCGACCACCCCAAGGCTTGTCGCTCTGCCTCTCCTCCGCTCGCCACTCGCCACCCTCGCACCTGCGCACTACAAAGCACCGCCTCACGCGCTCATTCCTCTCATCACTCTCCAGCTTACAGCTTCTGTTCTTGCTACTAGAACCTCTCAGCTTTCCCGGTCGCGTTCTCGTTACCTTAGCATGGCCCCATTGCGCGAGTCGTATTCTGCAGCGCTGAGATTCTGGAAGAGCCTCGGCGGGGAGAAGTCGAGCGCATCACGGCGCGTACAGCCGCTGAGCGACAGCACCAACAACGGCCATCGCACTGACGCCGCCGCGGGATGCAAGCACGACGCCATGGCGTCAGAAACTGGTGCGTGAGAATGCGCATCCTCGGAAACTGGTGCGTCGGACCCTGCAGCGTGCGACTGCGCCGCTTCGGGTGCGCCGGAAACTGCTGCGCTGGACTCCGCCGCGCCGGAATGTGCAGCCCCGCAATCAGCCGCGGCGGAATCGGCTGCGCCGCAATCAGCCGCGGCGGAATCGGCTGCGCCGCAATCAGCCGCGGCGGAATCGGCTGCGCCGCAATCAGCCGCGGCGGAATCAGTCGCGGCGGAATCAGCTGCGGCGGAATCAGCCGCGGCGGAATCGGCTGCGGCGGAATCAACCACGACGGAATCAGCGTCGGTGGCATTGGTGGTGGCGTTGTCACGCCCGTCAGCTGGTCGCAGCATGGCGGCAGCAGCAACGCAATCAACGATGTCGCTCCCCCCGTCGCGCATCCCGAAGCCGAGCAACACGGGAGCAGCGATTCGGCGCGTGGAGGGACCCACGCTGATCCCGAGGCCTCGATGTGCCGCAGCGCCCAGGCCGGTGCGGCGAGTGCAAGGCGAAGCTGCCGTCAAGCCGCCTCGCAGAACGCCCAAGGCCAAGGCCGCGCTCACTGCCACCCCAAAGCGCCCATGGCGGCCCTGACTGCTCTGACGGCAAAAAAGGAAGACAAGGAAAATCAAAATAGCAAAGAACGTCTTTGACTTACGGAGAAAAAAGAAACACAGAAAGAAAAATGAAGATTACAAAAAAAAAGGGGTTGCAGACTGTTTGCAGTGAGACATGATGGGTGGATGGGATGGCAGGCAGGAAAGCAGCATAGATGGGCGGACGGAATGAAAGGCAGGTAAGCAGCGCAGCACAGCAACAGGGAGAGCAGCGAACGCGGAGCGATGGGGAGGACGGATGGGTGTGGCATGGATGGGGGAGCGACAGTGGCACGGCCCTTTTTTGCGCGCTGCTTTACAGCAGGGCGTTTGTGGGAGTGTGGGTGGGTGGTTGGTGGGTGGCGGTTGCAAGTTAGGGGGTGAGGGAAAGGTGGTGTGGTGTGGTGCTGTGGTGTGAATGCGCTGCTGCAAGCTTCAAGGATGGGTGCAGGCAGGGTGGGAATAACGTGGATGGAGAGGTGGGAGTGGTGGGCAACATGACGACAGCCCGATACTGCATAGCTGCAAATGGGTGCATGGAATGGGTGCACGACAGCCCAATACTACATATAGGTGCTGCCTTGACATGGGTGCAAATGGGTGCAAAGTACCGTAGCCGTAGGCACCAATGCTGTAGGTGCTGGCATGACGCCACCTGTAGGCTTAAGGCCAATGTAGGGTAGGATTAAGGCCTTGTTGTGTGTGCCCACTTGCAATGACAATGATTGAATGAATGAAGAAAGCCTAGTTGCGTGCAATGAGTTGTGGATAAGGGCAGCACAGGATTGGATTGGCAGTGCAGGGCAGTGCCATGTGCACTCAGGTGCCAGCATCAACACGGCTGTGACAGGTTGAGAGTTGGTGTTTCCCATGTGGTGTTGATGGTGGTGGCATGGTGGGTGATGCAGCGCATGGTGAGAGGGGATGCAGTGCTCCTGCTGCTGCTGTCCCCCCTGCTGCAGCAGCAACTCCCAGCCCCAAGTGGGTCAGGCAAGCCGTTGAGGTGGAGGGTGAGGTGGGCGAGTGGATGGCGCAGCGCGGGGAGGGGTGTGGCGAGGAGCAAAAGGGGGGGGAGGAGAGGGCAGCAGGCGGGGAGGAGGGGCGGATGAGCAGCGCGTGTGGAGGCAGGGCGAGTGGAGAGCCCCGTTGAGCCCACGCCTGCGTGCATGGCCGCCCATGGCCTCCCCTGCATGGCGCTGCTCCCTGGCGCCTGCAGCCCCCTCTGCCTGCCCCAAGCACGCACCCGGGAGAAGGCGTGCGGCAGGCGGGGGGCAGCACGGGTGGAGGAGGGCGACAGACGGGGCACGGCAGGGGGAAAGGGGGGGGAAAGGAGGGTGGAAGGAGGGGGAAAGGATGGGGAAAGGATGGGGAAAGGAGTGGGAAAGGAGGGGGTACAGGATGGGGAAAGGAGTGGGAAAGGGGGGAAGGGGGAAAGAAGAAAGTGAGCGTGAACGGAGGAGAAGGGCAGTGGAATAGGAAAAGGATTGAAGTGGGCAGGGTAAATGAGGCGGAAGGAGCGTAAAACGAGGGGGGAAGGGGAATGAGGGGAGTGGACGGGGGAATGGGAGGGGGAGGGGAGAGGGAATGGAGGAAAAGAAGTAGTGAGAAGTGAAAGCAGGGGACAGGCAGGCGAATAGGAGGGGGTTTGGAGGAAGATGGGGAACTGAGGGGAAGGTGGTTGGACGGAGGGGGACAGGAGGGGAACAGGAGAAGGAAAGCAGGGGGCGTGGAGGGGGAAATGAGAAGAAAATAGGGGGACGGGAGGTGGATAGGAGGGTGACAGGAAGGGGAAAGGAGGGGAAATGGAGGAAATAGAAGATGAAGGAGGGGGCAAGGAGGGGAGGGGGAAAGAAGGGGGAACGGAGGGAGAAAAGGGGGGAAGTGGAGAGGAAAGGAGAGTGATAGGATGCGAAAGAAGGAAAGAGGAGGGCGTTAGGAAGGGGCGGCCGAAATGAGGGCAAAAGAAAGGGAAAGGAGAGGGAAGCAAAGGGAGACGAGAGGGACGGGAGGGAGGTGGATAGGAGTGGGACAGGAGGGGGACAGGAGGGGGACAGGAGGGTGAAAAGAGGAGTAAAGGGGGTGAAGGGAGCGGGAGAGAAGGGGGAAAGGAAAGAGAGAGTGGGGGGAGAGGAAGGGGGAGGAGGGAGGGAAAGGAGGGTAGAGGAAGGTGCGAGGTCGGGTTTGGTGCATGGGCATGCGATGGCAGCACCCAGCGCCGTCATCCCACGCTTGGTGCGGGAAGGGGGGGTTTTGGTGACAAGGCTGACGCCCTCATCGCACTCGCGCCCTCATCCCACGCTTGCTGCGCCCTCATCCCACGCTTGCTGCGCCCTCATCCCACGCTTGCTGCGCCCTCATCCCACGCTTGGCGCCCTCATCGCACGCTTGGCGCCCTCATCCCACGCTTGCTGCGCCCTCATCGCACTCGCGCTGCTGCCACGGACTCACTCACCACTCGCGCACTCACTTTGCCAACCCGCCTTTCACGGACGCTCTTGCCGCCACTGCCCACTTGGCCAACGCCACTGCCGCCGCGCGCGACCGACTCATGGCGGGCCCACGGCCAGCGATCTCCACGCGCTTCGCTTTTCGCGCTTCGACTCGTAGCGTCGAGTCCTGGCGAAGCACGCACGCGTGGTTGGGGGGAGCGGGGCGGTGATGGGCGGGTAGAGTGGGTGCGGTGCGCGCGGCGAGGGGCGACGCACCTCGCATCACTCCGCAGCAGCTTCCCGCGCATCCGTCCGCGAGTGGCGGGCGCCGCCGATGGCGCTGGCGCGTGAATGCGCGCCTCTCGCGCACCTCGTCAAACGCGCAGCTGCCGCATCAGTGCCGCCCACGCGGCTGCTCGCGCGGATGCCGGAAGGGCGGTGCGCGCACGCAGGTGAGGCGCGCAGCAGCGACGAGCACCGCGCGACGTCGCTGGAACCGTGAATGCACCGGCGCACGCTTCCACTCCACCGCAGCACCTATTCATGAAATGACTTGTTCGAGCGAGCGCGTAAACACGTAGTAACGCCGTAACAGCTCGCCACCTAAACACGAAGTGGTATGGTATGGCTCGAGTAATACATGGCGATGGCGGTGTGCGTTGCACACTCGCGCTTCCACTCCTCTTCTTGCCCGCCATCTGCTGCTGTTGCTTGAATCTACGCTCGCTACAAGCAGTCTTCACATACTAGTTTGTGCACTTGCAAACACATACATCATACCTTGAAATGATTAGGTCTCCAACTAGTCTCAAATGTTGTGTGCTTATAGTGTGGTAATTTTAAAGCCAGCAGCTAAAATAGTGACCCCCCCCTTCTAGTTGGGTCCACTTGAAAACACGAGTTTGTTACGAACGTTTGAAAAGTTGACGGCCAGTGCGTTTTTACTTTTTTTTCGTCCCAGACGAATCTTGATCTGAACGGGAAACACGAGGAACTTGTTTACAAATCTGATTCGTGGTGACTTTCACCCACATTCGTTTGCGAATTTGGCGCAAGGCTGCAATCCCACATTCAACAGAGCAGCCGTCGAAACTCCACAAGAATTCTCATATGCAAAAAACAGCGCACACACAGGCAAAATCCAGCGCGCACAGGCAAAAACCAGCAAAATCCTGCGCGAACACTGGCATGATCAAGCAAAATCCATGGCACAGAAAGGTCCAATCAGGCGAAGAAGATAGAAATCAGGCGAGTGGGAAGGCGACGAGGCAGGCGATGGGGGGAGAAAGTGGGTGGGGGACGGGAAGGCGTTTCGTGGCGAGCGGGAAGGCGATGGGGTGGGTGATGGTGGGTGGGAGAGGAATTTGCGACGGCTGCATCTAGGGCGACGGGAAGGGAGCGGCGTGAGAGAGAGCGACGGGAAGGGAGAGGACAGAGCAAGAGCGACGGGAAGGGAGGGGAGAGAGATATGTCAGAATCCCAACCACTAGACCATTGGGATAAAGGGGCTTGTTAAGTAGCGGGTCAGTGCGCCCATAACCCCCCAGGCCAACGTGCCTGTAACCCTTCCCTAGGATCAATCGGGGATCACCAGTGGACCTCTGACACCCCCCCGCACTGGGATGCCCGAAGTGCATACACCGGGATTCGAACCCGAGGCCTTCGCTCTGATACCATGTCAGAATCCCAACCACTAGACCATTGGGATAAAAGGGCTTGTCAAGTAGCGGGTCAGTGCGCCCATAACCCCCCAGGCCAACGTGCCTGTAACCCTTCCCTAGGATCAATCGGGGATCACCAGTGGACCTCTGACAAGATAGAGCGACGGGAAGGGATGGGAGAAGGCGATTGCAACGGAAAGGGAGCGGCGAGAGAGAGAGCGACGAAACAGGAATGAATGAACTAGCACAAAGTTGGGTACAAGTAGGAAACCCTAAGTTTGTGTACCCCCTAAGGCTAAACCTACAATAGCCTACACAATGTAAACATACAATGTTTGACACACCCCCATAGGCGAAGTGGGAGACAACCAGAGGGTCACAAGACCAGTCAAAGCAAAGCAAAGCAAAGCTCAGGGTGGATCTCAAGGATACCACACAAATTCCGAGCACAAGCAAGAGGTCACAAGACCAGTTCACATGCAGTTTGATAATATAACAAGAGGTACAGTGATCACAACCTAGCAAGTGAAAGCATGCAGGTATATATATAGAGATCACAGTACAAACAGAGTCAAGAAGTGAGCAAGTGAGGGAGAGTAGGCACAAGGCCTAGAACAGTACAGAAACGCTGATGGTCACAAGGCTGAAGCGCCTTGGTGAACACATCAGCAGTGTTGGCCCGAGTGGCCACGTAGGTAAGACGAAGCTGACCACGCTGCTGCAGCTCTCGAGCAAGGAAGTAGCGCAGAGCGATGTGCTTCGTTCTGTGCTCCAGTCTGTGCTCCTCACACAAGGCAATGGCTGCCTTGTTGTCGATGTACAGCACTGGAGGAGAACGAGGCCGCTCTCCGAGGTCGGTCAGCAGGTAGGTGAGCCAGCGTAGCTCCTGGGCCGCCATGGCTGTGGCGTAGATCTCAGCCTCACAACTGGAGCTGAGAACAGAAGAAGAGCGTGTAGAACGCCAAGAAACAGAGCCAGAGCCAAGGCTGAAGGTGTAGCCCTGAGACGACCGCTGAGTAGCCTGGTCGTCAGCCCAAGAAGCGTCTGAGTGCCCAGTGAGTACAACTCGGTCTCGTCCTCCAAGCACTAGCCCCATGCCCGACGTACTGCACAAGTAGCGCATCACCCTCTTAGCGGCATCCATGTGCTCCTTCCGGTGACGGCCAGGAGCGACATAGCGTGCAAGGATGCTAAGAGGGTATGCAAGGTCAGGTCGAGTGCAGGTCATCAGGTACATGAGGCAGCCCACAAGCTCTGGATACGGGCCACTCGGCTCTACGGACTCATCCGAAGGCAGAGCTGAGAGCGAGTGACCGGTAGGCAGAGGAGTGGGCTGAGGCGAGGAGTACGTGAAGCGGAAGCGCTGAAGGACCTGCTGCACCATGTGTGACTGAGTCAAGGTGATGGTGCGCCGTGCTCTGTCCCGGGTGATCCGCAAGCCAAGATAGCTTGTCAGTTCCCCCAGGTCTGTGCACGTGTGTCTCTTCTGCAGCTCCGACTTCACGTGGGCGAGTGCCACAGTGTCAGCAGTGGCAAAGACCAAGTCGTCGACGTACACGAGGATGTAGAACGGCGGCAGCGAAGTGTCGGTGCGTAGAAACAGCGACGGGTCAGCAGTAGAAGGAGCGAACCCACGAGCCGCAAGCGTAGTCCTCAGTGTGTCGTGCCACTCACGCGGCGCCTGTCGGAGACCGTAGACTGGCCGCCGGAGGCTCCACTGGGTACCAGGAGGGAACGACCCAGTGAAGCCAGGTGGGCGGCGCAGCCAGATCTCCTTGTGCAGGCTGCCCTGTAGGAAAGCAGTGCTGAAGTCAAGAGAGTGGAGCTCGTAGTCACGCTGAGCGGCGACGTGCAGCAGAACCCGAAGAGTGGTAATCTTCGGGGTCGGGGAGAAGGTCTGGAAGAAGTCAACTCCCTCTCGCTGACTGAAGCCTCGTGCAACGTAACGCGCCTTGAAGACAGGCGGAGAACCCGGCGGCCGCTTCACCCTGAAAATCCACATGCCACTGACGATGTTCGCCCCAGGTGGGGGAACCTCGTCAACGTAGGTGCCTGTGGACTTCCAAGAAGCCATCTCTGCGTCCATGGCTGTCTGCCACTGAGAGGAGTACTCACCCGCGATCGCCTCAGCGTAAGAGCGCGGGGTCGGGATGTCTGGAGCATCCGGGTCTCCCTCAGGGGCAACCAGCATGGACACGAGATGAGGTACAGCAGCGGCAAAGCACTCAAACTCCTCCTGTCTGTCCTCAAGGACGTCCGTGCCAAGAGCACACTCACCCCCGACTAACAGAGGACAGACAGACTCAGACTCAGCAACAAGGCTAGCGGCGTAGTCTAGACGACAGGCGGCAGCAAAGGCAACTAACTCAGCGACTAGAGCAGACGCAGCAGAGGACTCAAAGGTAGGGTCAGTGACAACAGTGGCGAGGAGACGCGTGACAGTAGGACTGGCAGCACGAAGGGAGTCAGACTCCGGGTCAGCAAGAGCAGGAAGAGAGGAAGCAGGAGGAGATGGCAGAAGGACACGCTGGGGAGCAGTGGAAGGACGAAGCGCCATCTCGTGATTGCCTGGGACAGCAGGTGGACGCTGACGCGGGACACGACGACCAGTGCGAGCAGCACGAACAGGCGACGCTGCCCGAGACTCTGGCGACACAGGATGAGACTTAGGCTCACGACGCTCAGTGAGACTGCCTGTCGGACCAGTGGAAGGAGAAGGACCAGGGAGTGGCGAGGCAGGCGGTAGCTGTGACCGCGACTGGACAGGCGGAGGACACTCTAAGGAGGGAGCAGGACTAGGGGGTGGCGGCTGACCAAGAACCTGCTGAAGGAGCGGAACAAAGTACGGCCGCGGCCGCGCAGCGCCTCCAGAACCAGCAGAGGCACCTCCAGTACCCTCAGCTCCAGGGTCTCCAGCTACACCGGCAGCACCAGGTCCCGGGTCCGCAGCACCAGCAGCAGCTCCAACTCCAGGGTCCTCAGCTCCAGCAGCAGCTCCAACTCCAGGGTCCTCAGCTCCAGCAGCAGCTCCAACTCCAGGCTCGGCAGCGCCAGCAGCAGCTCCAACTCCAGGGTCGGCAGCGCCAGCAGCAGCTCCAACGCTAGGGTCCGCAGCACTAGCAGCAGCTCCAACGTCCGGGTCCGCAGCACCAGCAGCAGCTCCAACGCCCGGGTCCGCAGCACCAGCAGCAGCTCCAACGCCCGGGTCCGCAGCACCAGTAGTAGCTTCAACGCCCGGGTCCTCAGCACCAGCACCACCTCCAGAAGTAGTAGTACCTCCAGCAGCTTCAGCAGCACCAGTCGCACCTCCAGCAGTGGTAGCAGCACCAGCACCAGCAGCACCTCCAGTAGCACCAGCAGCACCGCCAGCAGCAGCAGCACCTCCAGCACCAGGGTCCGCGACTCTAGGAGCGCCACTCCGGAGACTGCAGCGCCGCGCGTACCACTCTCGGAGCCGCTGAGGAGAGGGCAGCTCCCGCCTAGGAGGGGAAGCACTAGCACCAGCTCCAGCAGCACTCCGAGCTCCAGAAGTACCTCTCCTGAGGCTGCAGTACTGTAAGTACCACTCACGCAGCTGCTGTGAGGAGAGAGCTCCTCCAGGTGTAGCACTCCCAGGCTCAGT